GTGGGATATGACGTGAATTTACAGGGTACAGAGGAATAACATCTGAGTCCTCAGGAATGGCAACGCATGGGGAGTATCATGGGCGAAACAGTATACTCTGTTATGTCCGTGCTCATGTCTATGTCTATTTCCATCAGGTGGGCCGTCAGCTTGTTTGCCACTCTAAGTTAAATGTGTAAAAAATGTGTTAAAGTAAAAAATGTGAAATAAAAGAGCAAATATGGACACTTGTAGACGAAATTTTCAACTAGTAATATTTAAATATTAATGAATAAAATTCAATAATCCCCGCTCTTCAGTATGTGTTTAACCTAATCTCAACTAGCCCGTCTTACAATTTGTTTTAAACACGAAACAGAGTTAACTGGCAAAGTTTTGAGCAAACCTTTAAATGCCACTGTCTAGAATACATGATACGCAGTTGAAGATAAACAAAAACAATATACATATATAGAACTACATATACTGTTTTTGTTTACATATGTATATACAGAGGAAAAAGCCAATTTTTAATCGTAACTCTTTTGCACAGTTATGGTCAAAGCAGCAGAGTAAAAAAAAACACCATGAATCACAGTCACACACATGGATCCTCTGATTCACGATACCAAACGTATATATATTCTTTATTGCACTAAAACATACAGTAACAACAAGAAGTTAATAACAATGTTAGCAAAGGCGAACTTTAAAAGAGATTTCTTCCAATCAACCTAACACAGTGAAATAGGAAGTAGTGAGTAAATATATATATATATATATATATATATATATATATATATATATATATATATATATATATATATATATATATATATATATATATATATATATTTACTAATTATCTTCTAATCAATTATATTTAAACAAAACACGTAATGATTCCTCACCAGCAACAACACTAAGATATACTGATGCCACCACCTCCACTTGCTCCAATATTTGACGAGACACTACCACGTAAAGTACTGTGGGGAGAGTGGGATATTCAGAGCAGTTGGTTAATATAGGTGATGACGTTTGAATGGTATATAATTATGGCGGTTATTTGCTCCATGCACTTAAAAAAAGTAAGAATCGTCAGCCTCTAGGAAAACATGAAGAGATAAGTTTATTATATTGTATTTTTTTTATTCGACTTACAATGGCAAACAAGCTGACGGCCCACCTGATGGAAAGCGTTAACCGTGACCTATAGACATGAGCAGTAAGTACCATGGACGTAACAAAGTTTTTTCACCCGTGACACTCCGCAAGCATTGCCATTCCTAAGGACTCAGGTGTTATTCCTATGTACCCTGTAAATTCACTGCCATATCCTACCGTTCAAGCTGAAACACAACCATGTAAACACAACTGCTTCACGGTAGAAAAAAAAAATATAAAAGAATACTATTAGAGACAAATATAGTCTTCATTAATTTCTCTACATTTGTATATTGATTTATTTTAATAACAAGTTATGAAATATGCTTACCAAAAATTAGGTAATAATTGGTTACAACTAATTGATATAGCAATTAGTAATGATTTTTTAATTGTTAAATAACAGTATAAAAGAACGGCTATCAGATATGTTGAATTACTATTATTTCGAATTCACACTGTGACTGTTATTCTGATAGTTTACAAAAAAATTGTTTTTGTGTGATCCATTAATGTTATAAGGTATTGTATATTTCTATACTTATTATATATGTATATGCTTTGTATAATCTTTTATTATAATGACTTTTAATGTATGGTCAGTTTTAAAACAAAACTTAGGACATTTATTTGAGCAAGTTGTCATCTCCTTAATATGTTTATATGTCTGGTTAGCATACTTATGGTATTACTTGTATACTTTTTGTGAACAGTATTTATATATGTAGGCATTTATATCCATGTAATGAGTAGGGATAATATTTATATTATTATATGTATCACATCCCCCATATTTAGAACTAACAAAATTTTTCATCGTGCCTCCCACCAAATTGTTTATAATTACTCCTCTCCATCCAAAGGTTGCCTGGAAGAGATCGCTCTTAGCGATAAGGTCGCCCATTGTTTTCTCATTGTGATTATTTCTTGTAATTATTTATATTTATAATAAGTTTACTATTGTAATTTTTTGGAGCAAACAATAAAGAGTATCTATCTATCTATCTATCATATAAAAATAATCATCGTCATGTCATCCATTATCTGTGCACATTTGTTACTCTTTCACGTAAAAACTACTAAACAGATTTAAATGAAATTTGGTGCACTGGTAGGTTATATCTTCAATTAGCACATAAGATACTTCGTATACTGATTCACGCGGTTAAAGCCGCGGGATATAACTAGTTGACAATATATGTATTTGTATTGTGAATATGCATAAATAAATAAACTCGAAACCCTTCCTAACTGTATGTAACAGCGTTTAAATCATTCAAACGTGAATATTCGGCTGCAGCACGATAGGTGTTGTAACCAATAAACCGACTATCCGTTGCCAGTTATCGAATGGAAACTTCAGCTTTGCTTCCGATTTTTATTCGTTTTGACGAATTCCAGTCATAAGCCAGTTTTGTCCGTTATCTGTACAAGTTCTAACTGACTGATTCTACTGGCATTGTTGGAGTTTTACCAGAGGGAGACTTTGTACAAAAGTCGATTGCTTGGGTACCTCTGTCCCATTCGTGTTTTTACCGTGAAGCAGTTGTGTTTGCATGGCTGTGTTTCGGTTTGAAGGGTGGGATATGGCGTGAATTTACAGGGTACAGAGGAATAACACCTGAGTCCTCAGGAATGGCAACGCATGGGGGGTACCATGGGCGAAACAGTATACTCTGTTATGTCCATGGTACTGCTCATGTCTATAGGCGAAGGTTACCACTTTCCATCAGGTGGGCCGTCAGCTTGTTTGCCATTCTAAGTTATATAAAAAAAATTGTTGGAGTGATAAAAACCAAATTTTAAATAGGTTTATTCATATTTCATCATTCATAATTTCAGCCGATAACTGTCCACTGCTGAACATAAGGGGAGATTTGTCAGTAGTTGCCACGCTTGGCAGGCGGATTGGTGACTGCAGTAAGGCTTTGGTGATGTTTTAAGAGGAATACTGCTGCCCATTCCTCTGCCGTTAAGTTTCTCTAGTCGCCTTTTACCGCACGTGCAGGAAAAAAGGGGTCGCTTATTCTATGCAGTGAGCACACGACGATTTAAACTTTACTGACACACACACAAATATATATATATATATATATATATATATATATATATATATATATATATATATATATATATATATATATATATATATATATATATGCACATATTTTTCCATTACAAACTCTACCAGCCAGCCTTTAGGAGAGGAGGGAGACTTGATACCAGAAGGAGAATTTGTACAAAAGTCGTACTTCTGTTCCATTCGTCTTTCTACTGTGATTTAAAAATTGTAACACATAAAGGCTGTCATGGGTGACACAGTATACTCTGTAATGTACATGATACTATTCATGCCTATAAACGAGGACCGTCAACTTATTTATTACTACAAGACATTCGAAGGCGTTTTAGTGCAGAAAAAAATACATACTATGCAATTCCTGAGGACTAAGTAACAATAGGGTGGCAGGGCTAGCAAAATGCCACGGGCCCCCGACCCAAAAGAGCCCCAGCTCAAGAGGCCGCGAGCTCAGATTTTTTTTTACCTTGTACCTGAGTATTTTATTTTACTTGAAAATAAATGATAGGGCCCAATCAAAACAATTTGCCACAGGCCCCAAATGGTATAGTTACGCCACTGGTCCGCACTCTGTAATTTCACTGCCATCTCCCACACTTCTAACGGCAACAGCTTAGTAAATACAGCTGCCTGGCGGCAGAAAGACGAGTGGGACAAAAGTATTCATGCAAATGGTTATTGTACAAATTTGCTTCTGGTATCGATTAATTAATTTCACTTCAATAAGGAAACTCTCAATACGGTTGTATATTTTTTTATGTTTGTTACCTCATAACTCCGTCAGTTGTTAACCGAAACGAAAAATTATTTTTTTAACTTAAAGGATTACTTACAATTTGGTACTGTAAAAATTTTATCATAATCGGATCAGTGGTTTAGTTTTTATATCAAAATAACTCATTTTATCACAATTGATGACAATTTTTTTGTAAGACACAATTTTTGATAAATTTTGTAAAGATATATATTTATTAAACATTAGAAATTGCATAAAAATTAACGTTTTCACGGTTGTCTAATAAAATGTGAACGGACAAAACACGCGCTCTCTAAGTTAAAATTAAGCATTCAAATCGCATAGCGTTTTCAATTTTGCACCCGACTAATTGCGATGTAGACAGGACAGGAGGCAAGAACTATGGCATTTTTTGTCAAATAGCTTTCAAGTGGAAGTAATGGTTCTCATTTATATTAATCAGCAGACTTCAGAAGACAAGTAGCAGACTTGAAGGCGTTGTAGCGAAAAAAAATATATAAATTAACTCTGCGTAGCTGAGTTTCTTGCCCTTTCTTCTTAGCTGCAATTCAAAAAATTCTGAATTGGACGATAGAGTCATAAAAAAATACTATTAATACAAATTGTGTAAATCACTTTAAAACAGCAATTGCTGAGTTTTTTGTTATTCTCAGTCACTGAGATCTCGTTACTGAGAATAACAAAAACTCAGCAATTGCTGCAATTGCCTCGTTTCAGCAGCCTCGTTACTGACAAAAAAGACTTCATAACTAACAATCCTTTTCATCCTGGTACACGGGTAAATTATATTATACCTTCTCATTCCCTCATTTCCTCAATTCTTTCATTAGTTTTTACGTGAAAGAGAAACAAACATCCATCCACATTTGGATGTACGTGTCATTTTCACATTAGAGCATTATAGTGGTAGCACTAAGACGGTTTCGAGGTTATCTCGATACATACAGACAGACGACTATACTAATACGTATTTGCGTATGGCAATTATGATACAATGACAAAAGTCGTATTTTGATACAAGCAGATTCAGTAAGTGCGCGGACAGCGCGAGAGCAGCTTGTATAGTTAATTTAATTTAATTAATTTTAATTTAATTTAGTGACTTAGTTTAGGTGTTAAGTTTAATTCAGTAAGTATATTTTTTATTATTTATATTTTAATTTATCAAACTCAGTTTAGTTTATTTATACGTTTATAAAGTATTTCTGTACTTAAGCATTTTTTTTTATTTTTATTTTCTTAATAGGATATTAATCGTATTATAATTTTTTTGCCATAAAAAATTAAACTATTTTTAGCAAACATATTTTAGTTTTTTTTTTGTTTTAGTAGGTAAATTTAATATTTAAATTATTAAATTTAACTTATTTCTGTTGATGCTATCTAAAAATAATACATAAATAATTTAAAAATATTTTTTTTAAATTATAAAATCCTGTTGTATGTTATTGTACAGAACCCTTCCAAATTATATACTGTTTTAGAACCATAAAAGATTTTCAGCCTAAGTATAAAGCATATGAAAATACTTTACAGTATTGAGCACTTTTGCTCTTTTGAGGGCAAAACTGAGTTGTTGAAACGTGTGCCATAATAAAACAAAATAAACATTTTGTTTTATTATGGCACACGTTTGAAAGGAAAAAAATGTTACTTTGTTTTTATATATTTTGCTTTTTTTGTTTATGCATTCTGTTATCTCTTTTTACTGTATATGTCTGTCTGTATCTATTGTTATTTGTGTGCATTAAGAAATGCAAATAAATTATATATATATATATATATATATATATATATATATATATATATATAATGGAATGGTTATCAGTATATGTATGTATACGCTGGTGGGGCAGTGAGGGATGATAGGTGACGATAAAAGCAGGTCAGTTAGCCCATTGTGACGAATTCCACTAGAATTAGTTTCCAGGGGGAACCACGTGAAGGTCGACCTGATAGGGTGTATTGCTGGTAATGTATTAGTTAGTCCCCATTACTAACAATCCCTTTCCCCCCTATATACTAATATTAGTATTTTATCTGTGGTTAGAATAAGGAACTAACAATCTTTATGATAATGAAAACATTAATAATTTAAGATTGCGTTTCACGAGAAAAAACAACGTCAATTCTGGTAAAACCAGATATTTTGATTTTTAAATTAAACAAGTTTTGATAAAATTTCTGTGAGCCCAATCTGTAAAAGGATATTTTTAAGATAAAAAAAAAGTTCTAGCTCGTTTTATAACTGATGACTTAGTCTTCAGGAATCGCAGTGAGAGATATCATAGGCGACGGTTGTCACTTCCCATTCTTTCATTCTTGATTGCTTTAAAAACCTCTTCATCAAAAATAAGAGAAGAAATATATATATATATATATATATATATATATATATATATATATATATATATATATATATATATATATATATATATATATATATATATATATATATATATATATATATATATATATATATATATATATATATATATATATATACAGTAACAACAATAAGTAACAATAACAATGATAAAATTGCCGTAGTATTTCCACATATTTGATTATATATGTAAATATATATGTATGTATATAGGAATAGATGAGGAATTGCGGCAAAAAGCTGATAAGTTGATAACCATATTTATATAGGGGAATTATAAAGGATTATATATATTATTAACAACCCCATTGAATATAAACTCTAATATAATAAGAATATATATACATATATCATATGTTAAATGTACAACATATAAATATCAAATAAAAGAGAACACAATGATGACAGTCTTCTAATATTTTTTTATTTTAATTATGTTTATTTTAAAATTAAAATTTAAATCAATAATAATTATTTTAGGACAGATTGAAATCTCCTGTTTTGTTATCTGTTGTATCTTCAAGATGTTTTCAAACATGATTACTATTTTTGCCTATTCAAAACTACCGGTCCTACTTTTTTTCAAGTAATTAAATGCAAGCTGCTAAACTCTAGAATTCCCCAAATGATACCAAAGTAGCGAAGACCGTCCATACCTTCAAAGCTCAAACAGAAAGATTTTACAATACAATTGACAGTTGAGTTACTTATATACATAATAGTTCTATATTCTATGTGTATATATATATATATTTTATTCATCTATACTCTTTTACTATTTAGCTACTAATAATTTACACTACACCACATATATTATGCTTTATATACAAACCCAATAGACACTTTCTCCTTTCGGATTCTCAAGGTTGACTAGAAAAAAAAATCCCTTTAACGGATAAGTCCGTCTGTGTACATTTTTCTTATAACCTAATATCTATACTATAAGTGAATGTACAAAATCATATAAATAAATGAATAAATATCCTATAGAAGAAATATAGGGTGGAGAAGGACATAGACTTCTCCACTTTTAACTCCAGTCAGTAAAAATATTCCGATCACGCAGACAACGTCAGTTACTTATATACAGAAGTTATATATTGTATGTGTGTATATATATATATATATATATATATATTTTATCGCAACAAGCACTCTGTTACTCTGCAAAGAAAAATAGCAACTGCACATATATCACTTTATATAAAATAAGTCCAACACTTTCTACCTTTCTATCTAGGTGATGAAAAAAAATCTTTAAATAAGTGTTGTGTACATTTTTTTATCTATTATACATGAGTGAATGTACAAAATGAATAAATAAAAAATTGTAAACTTGAAAAACATCTGTGAAAAGAGATATTACCTAGCTATTTTCCTTCCTTATACTCGTAATGCCAACATGACGCGAACATTCTAAAGAACGCAAACTAGTATCTATGAAGGACGCAAAGTATAGAATAAATTAAAAAAAACTTTAAATAGTTTTTCAGTTAATTCAATTGTAATATATGCATGCCAATAATATGTAAAACTATTCTAAATTTTATGTATTTATAGATTCACTTGTTGGTGATGATATCTTGTGTTTGAGACATATAATTTTTGTCGATATTATACATGACGACACGCACGTTTGAATAGCAGGAAAAATTGTAAACTTGAAAAACATCTGTGAAAAGAGTTAATAACTAGCTACACAGTCTCTTTGTGACTAATGCAGTTGTCATTAACATTATTATCGAACGCTAAAAAGTATCTATGAAGGACGCAAAGAATAGGATAAATAAAAAAATATGTTTTTTATTTATTTTATTGTAATATATCATGCCGATAATATGTAAAACTATACAAATTTATGTATTTATAGATTCACTTCATAAAGTGACAAAATATCTTGTGTTTGAGACAGATTATTTCATGTCGATATATTACGCGCGCACGCACGCGTGTTTATCATATATATATATATATATATATATATATATATATATATATATATATATATATATATATATATATATATATATATATATATATATATATATATATATATTATGTATAATTATTTATATATTGCTGTAATTAGTCATATATTTTCCACCACATGTGCCCTTATGTTTTGTTATGTACCTAACGTTTAGCTATGTCCCTATAATTATGGCATTAAGTTCGCCACTTGTACAAAGTTTTATTGTGCAATAAAGAATAAATAAATAAAGGAAACCCTTAAAAGTAATCAGATGATAATCAAAAATCTTGTACAAAAGTCGTTTGCTTGGGCACCTCTGTCCCATTCGTGTTTTTACCGTGAAGCAGTTGTGTTTGCATGGCTGTGTTTCGGTTTGAAGGGTGGGATATGGTGTGAATTTACTGGGTACAGAGGGATAACACCTGAGTCCTCAGGAATGGCAACGCATGGGGGGTGTCATGGGCGAAACAGTATTGTTATGTCCATGGTACTGCTCATGTCTAACGGTTATCACATTCCATCAAGTGGGCCGCCAGCTTGTTTGCCATTCTAAGTTGCATAAAAAATATTATACAATTTGTATATATTATTAATATTTCTATAGCAATTTGTAATTATTGCCACTGTGGTAAACGTAAACTCTAATATATAATATGCTAGTCTCTCTATACCCTGCCATGACCCTACTTTGACCTCACCTCACCTTGTATATCGCAAGTATAAACAGGGTGAAACCGAAACGTTAGCGGTACACAAACTTAACAATGTATTTAGATTGCGTATGGTCCCGTCATAGAATGGACCACTCCTTTCTTCCCCGTGGGGAGCACACTGCAAAATAAAATATTGCAGATTTTTAAGTAATACATAAGTAACTATAGACAGAAAATAACGACCCCGTATTTATGAAGTCGGGTTAATGTAACAGACCAAAGGTTAAGCAGATAGCGTGCACGTGTATATCACGTGACTGGCCGTTTGCTTTGCTAAAAACCCGGTTTTCAATATTTTTAAATAATAAACATAAAATAAAAATACATGTAATAAAATGGGCTTTACGGGCATTATGTCCATGTTGAAGCCATATAAGGTACTTAGATATAACACCTTAGCCTGGGGGGAAAGGGATTGTTAGTAATGGAGACTAAGAATCCCATTGCTAGCAATGTACCCAACCAGGTCGACCTCCTCACGGTTCCCCCTGGAAACTATCATGGTTAATTCCTGATGAATTCATCATGATGGGCTAACTGGCCTGTTTTCATTCTCATCAATCACCGTTCACTGGTGCTCCGCCAGCGTCTGCCGTTAGCGCAGGCGGGGTTACCATTCCATTTTCACCTATAAAAAAACACCTTAGTCCTCAGGAATACAACATGATGCATAGAGAGTATAATGGGTGAAACAGTATACTCTGTTATGTCCATAGTATTGTTCATGTCTATAGGCGACGGTTACCTCTTTCCATCAGGTGGGCCATCAGCTTGTTTGCATTTTAAGTTGCATAGAAAAAAATAGAAGTGGCTGTAAAATTCGTGCTATGTTGTACAGGATTTAGCTATATTTGAATGGATGAAATTTATTCGAAAATTTTGTATTTTGCAAAAATCTATTCTCCTGTATATCAGTCTATTTGTTCAACGTTTTCCAAAGGTTGCCTATAAGAGATTGCTCTAGCAATAAACTACTTTCACTTGAATTTTCTAATTGTCCATGTCCCTAGTACTGTTCATGACCATAAGCGACGGTTACCACTTTCCATCGGGTGGGA